CACGTCCTGGCCACGGCCCAGGGCCAGCGTCCCCTGCCAACAGCTCACTGACCTCAGCCCTGACTCCCCCGTCGCCGCTCACCCAGGCCTACGGCCTCCTCCTCAGATGTAGCAGCTGGTTCCCAGCTGAGAGTCCCTCAACTTGCTGGCCCCTCTGCCAAGAATATTCTTGCCTTTAGGACTAGGCTCAGATGTCCTCTCATCAGTGATCTACCCTGAATGAGCAATCCCCACCTCCTGCACCATCCCCCAGGACAGAATTATGTCACAGGTGATGCTGACATGGCCTCCTTTTGGGCTTTGGGTTCAACCTCGAAATAGAGACTCTGAACCTTGGCGTCCTTTCTGAGTGGTGGCACTGGACTCTGATCTGTAATTAAGAGACAAACTTAGCATATTCTTTAGCAAACAAGAAAAGTCAAGATTCACAATAATGGGTCAAGCAGACAAAACAGACCGCATGGAGCAGACCGCTGGCGTCCAGCACGCGTCCTCAGCCCTCGCCATTCCATGGCTTGCTGGCCTCACTTTCAGCCAGCACCTGTGTCTCTGTGCCTGAGCATCTTCTCTGGCACGTGCAGGCAGGCCTGCAGGGCAGGAGAACTGTGTGCCCACGCCCAGGAGAAGCCCTCCATTCAACCAAGCAGTGCTGGTGCTGGAGTAGGCACACCCACTCCCTCGCCCTGCGCTGGAGCAGCCCTGGGCCTGTGTTTAGCACTAGCCCTTCACCAACGTCAGTGTGCCCTGGGGACCCTGTGAAACACAAGTCCTGACCCCATAACTCTGGGCAGGGCCTGAGAGGCTCCATGTGACCAGGTGAGGCCCAGAGCAGTTTCACCTGCTCCTCAGAGCCCCCAGCATCAGAACAAAGCACTAGCGTCCTGCCTGATTCCTCACCTCTGCTGGTAGCGTCCTGCCTGATTCCTCACCTCTGCTGGTGCCCCCTCCTGCCCTGTTTGGCTCCCTCATGCCTCCACGGCGTGCCCTGGGATCACCTCCCAAATCAACCACTGGCCCTTGAATCCTGCTCAGGAGCTGCTTCTGGGGACCCAAACTGCGACACTACAAATACACCCACATTTTACATCACGCATGCCAGAGCCACTTGTCTGGATTTGGGGTAAAGGTTAACTAAGCACGTCATCACTTCCTGATCACTTTGGATGTCCCTTACATCTTCTGAGACAGAAATGTACATTTCTGTTATATCACATACATAACTACCTTGGCTAATTGTTTCAAATGCATGCATTTTCTTAATTATAGAAGCTATGTTCTAAGTAGTAAAAATTTAGATATTCTGAAGTTAATTCTCAGAATACTTACTTTTTTGGTAAGCATTCATTATGATTCTCCTTTATCTCTAGTTTACTTTGTCTGAGTGTAACGACGGTGCTTATTCAAGGTCAGATTAAATCATGAGCTTTGAAAATATCTGGCTTGTTGGTCAATACGATGAAAACATGGTACTCACCAAAAATGTGACTCGACAAACACACTCACACAGCCCATTCTTATGCTAGTTTCTTGTACCCACCTAGGAGTAAGGACATTTCCTGTACTTATTGTTAAACAGTTGTCTAACAGACCAAGCAATTCCTGAATCAGTGGCCTGCTGGTGCTTGGTGGTGAGGACTGTTTCATCTGATTTATCCCAGTGAACTTCTACCAAAATTGACCCTGACAGGCTCTATAATGGGCTCTGAGGCTGCAAACCCATGAACACAGAACCAGGAAAAGACATAGCTCTGACCAGTCAGCACAGAGATTTGAACAGGGTGCTGTGTGGGTCCAGCAGAGGACAGGCGAGGCTCCCATATTCCTCATGACATTATTAAAGCGAAGAGAGGCTCCCTGGGGCCCTGATTTTAAAAATTTCTAACTTCGGTTTTAATGCAGTTCATCATCATAATCGTCCTACAAACCTCGAGAAGCTGAGTCTCGGGGGGAGGAGTGTTCTGCTGCACAGATCCGCAGGAAGGTCAGGATAGCGGCCAACCCTTTCTGCACAATCAGCTGAGGGGGGAATTCCAGAGGGCACTGTCTCAAGTTCAGTGCTTTTAGTGTAGTCACGTTCCCTGCAAGTGAGAAGACAAACAATCAGCACTTCACACATTCTTCTGTGGAATGAAAACAAGGAGGAGAGGGTACGAATTGTTTGCCCATTACAAAAAAAAAAGATCCTATTGAGAATTTTGGGTAAAATGATACAACAGACATCTGAAATTTGCTTTAAAAAAAACTGCAGGGGAGACAGATTCCATGGATAAGACCAGGCCAGCTACAAAATTAGATAAATAAAATAAAGCAAACAGCAGTAGCAACAACAGCCATCAGGTAGAAATCAGAACACAAAGTTGCTATATTACCTAAAATGTCTATTTTCAGCAAAAAAACTAGAAGGAAAGGAAAATGTGACCTATATTCAGGAAACAGGCAGTCAAAAGAAACTGTCTTCAAGTAGGCCCAGATGTTGGACTAAGCAGACAAAAGCTTCAAAGCAGTCATTATAAATATGTTCAAAGAAATGAAGAAAACTATGTATAAATAATTCAAGTTAAAAATAGTAAAATGACTCAACAAATATAGAATGTCAATAAAAATAGAAATTATAAAAAAGAACCAAATAGCAGTTCTAGAGTCGAAAATTACAAAGACTGAAATGAGAAATTCACCAGAGGAACTCAAGAGAAGATATGAGGTGACAGAAGAAACAGTAAGTGAATGAAGACATAATAAAAAGTATCCAATAAAAAGACAAAATAAAAAGTATCCAATCTGATGATCAGAGAGAAAAAAAGATTACAACAACAAAACCTCAGAGACCTGGGGAACAACATCAAGTATGCTAACATATATGTAATGAGAGTCATAGGAGAGAAAGAAAGGATTAGAAAAAATATCTGAGGGAACCATAGCCTAATATATCCTCAATTTGATGATAAACATTAATGTATACTCTAAGAAGCTTAACAAACCCCAAGTAATATAAGTCAAAAGGATTCACACTTAGAAACATCACAAACTACAGAAAGACAAAGAAAAAGAATCTTGAAAACAGCAGGAGAAAAACAACTGTCACATAAAAGGAACAACAGCTGACTTCCTGTCAAAAACAATGGTGGCCAGAAGACAGTGGAACAATATAGTCAGAGCACTGAAAGAAAAAAACATGTTAACAACGTCCTCTGAATCCAGCAAAACTATCCTTCAAACATACGGATGAAATGAAGACATTCCATCACTGATGCAGACAGAAATAGAGAATCTGAATCAACCTATAACAATTTAAAAAATGAATTAGTAATTTAAAATCTTCCCCCTCACAAAATCTCAAGTCCAGTTGAAAACCACTGAACTAAATGGATGAGTCTAACAGCAGACTGGACACAGCAGGAGATAGAATCTGTGAACTCAAGAGCAGGTCAACAGAAAATAATACTAACTGGAACCCAGAGAGAAAAAAAGAATGGGAACAAAAGAGTATTCAAGGGATGTGGGACAGAATCAAAATCTCAACATACATGTAACTGGAGTCCCAGAAGGAGAGGAAAAATGAATGAGAAAGAAGCAATAGCTAAAGAAATAATGTCAATATCCAGGAATTTTCCAAATCTAATTAGAGACATCCATAAACAGATTCAGGAACCTCAGTAAACCCCAAATAAAGTAAATACAAAGAAAACTATACCAGGCACATCACAGACAAACTGCTGAACATTAAACACAAAGAAAAATTTTAAAGCACCCAGAGAAAAAGATACATTACTTTTAAAGGAAAAACATTAAGACTGACAGCTGACTTTTCAACAGATGATGGAAGCCAGAAGACAATAAAGATATTTTTTAAGTAGAGAGAAATCCCCAAAACTAGATTCTTATACTCAGCCAAAATATCCTTAAAAAATGATGGAAAAATAAAGATGACTTTTTAAAAAAACAAACTGGAATAATTCATTACGAGCAGACTAAAGGAACTATTACAAAGAGGTCTCAGGCCACGACAGTCAACCCAGACGGAAGCACAGAACATCAAGAAATGAAGAGCACCGGAAGGGTAAGCACGTGAGGACATATAAATCAATTCTGACAGTTAAAAAGTGTCTACTGGATTTATACACATATGAAAGCAAAACCTATGAACTAGCATAAAGGCAGGGAGGAGGTAACAGAGACAGGCATTACCACGGTTCTCCGAGTAGGAAGTGGTAACAGCAGATCGTCCCAAGTCAAGGACACATAGGTGGTCTCTAGATAAACACTAAAGTAATACAAACGGTCCGTGAGGGGTTCTGCTTCCAATAATGTTGGGGCAGCTCAATCAGGTCAACTCTCCCACAGACGACTAGAAGCTGGGCAAAATATCAACCACCTGTAGGCAGGGGAGCAACAGAAAGCAGGAGGAGCTACAGGGGACGACAGCTGCAGGAAGAGACTGACCCCAGAGCAGCATAGGTCTGTGTGGGTTTCTGCCTGAGGGAAGGCCCCAGAGAGTACCACCCAGGGCGGCTACAACATGCGAGAAACCTACACAGTCGCAACAACCTGCGGGGCCAGAGAACAGATTCAGAGCTAGCATGGTAGCAAAAAGTGAGGGGTGTATTCCAGAAAGAAGAGAACTGCAAGGGGCACCCCACGAGTCTGCGTATCAGTTCTGCACAGTCCTGAATTTCACACACACGGGACTGACTCTGAGCAACACAGCCGAGGCTAAGAGAACGGAGCCGAGCTTTCACCTACTGCCCACTACAAGAGAGACTGAGTTTGCAGCTTTAGTCCCGTCAACTTAAATAGCTAGTTTTAAAAAATCAATACTCTACAGAGGAAGATAGCAGAACTCAAGGCTCTCTACAACGTATCTCTGACAATGTCTAGGATACAATCCAAAATTACTGGACATATAAAGAAACAGGAGAATGCAACCCATATTTGAGAGAAACAGCAAGCAATGGAGATCAACTCTGAGATAGCCCAGATTAGCAGACAAGAATTTTAAAGTAGTGTTATGGGCTGAATCGTGTCCCCTCAAAATTCATATGTTGAAGCCCTAACCCACAGTATCTGAAAATGTGACTGTATTTGGAGATGGGACCTTTAAAGAGGTGATTAAGGTAAAATGAGCCTCTTGGGGTGGGTCCTAACCCAACCCGACTGGTGTCCTTGTAAGAAGAGGAAGAGACACCAGGGATGTGTGTGCACAGAGGAGAGACCCTGTGAGGACACAGAGAGAAGGCAGCTGTCCACATGCCAAGGAGACAGGCCTCGGGAGAAACTGAGCCAGCTGACACCTTCGTCTGGGACTTCCAGACTCTACAACTGGGAGAAAATTAATCTCTGTTGTTTAAGCCACCCAGTCTGTGGTAGTTTGTTATGGCAGCCCTAGCGGACTAGTGGAAGGAAGGAGCTATCATAATTACGCTCCAGGACATGAAAGAAAATGTGTTTGCAGCAAATGAAAAAAATAACTCTCGGCAAAAAAAGTAGAAGCTATTTTTAAAATACGAAAATTCTAGGACTGAAAACACAATATCTGAAAAAAAATTTACTAGATTTCTTCACGGCCAATTGGAGAAAACAGGAAAAGAGACTCCTGAGCTTGAAGATATTTTTCTATCTTCTCTGAAGAAGAGAAAATGACTTTTTAAAATGTACAGAAGCTCAGTGATCTGTGGGACAATAACAAAAGGTCTAACATATAGGCAAAAGGGAGAAAAGGAGCAGAAAAATGTTTAAAGAAATAATGAGCAAAATATTCCCCAAATTTGGCAAAAGATGCGAATTTAAAAACTGAATCAACTCAACAAACTGCAAGCAAGATAAGTACAAAGAAAACCACACCTGGGTCCATCGTAGTCAAACTGCTGAAAGGTAAAGACACAGAGGAATCTTGAAACTGACCAGACACAACCAGCACGGCGGTCCAGGAGGACCCCGGGAGTGAGCACCAAGGCCCGAAGACCCTGGAACAGCTTTAGAGTGCTGGATGAAAAAATTGAACCCATATTTCTAAATCAGAAATATCCTTTATGAATTAAGGCAAAACAAAGACATTTTCAGAAAAATGAAAATTAAGAGAATTCCTTGCCAGCAGACTGATTTTAAGAAATCAGAAGAGAAGTTCTTCAGGCTGAAGGAAAATGATGCCAATGGAAACGTGGATCTTCAGCAAAGAATGGAGAGGATCACGAATGCTAAATATCCAGTAAGTACAGAAGACTTTTAGGGCCGGCCCCGTGGCGTAGCGGTTAAGTGCGCGCGCTCCGCTGCTGGTGGCCCAGGTTCAGATCCTGGGAGCGAACCAAGGCACTGCTTGTCAGGCCATGCTGTGGCGGCGTCCCATATAAAGTAAAGGAAGATGGGCACGGATGTTAGCCCAGGGCCAGTCTTCCTCAGCAAAAAGAGAAGGATCAGCATGGATGTTAGCTCAGGGCTGGTCTTACCAAAATAAATAAATAAATAAATAAATAAATACCTTTAAAGCAAAAAAAAAAAGACTTTTATTTCCCTCAATTTCTTTACAATTTACATGACTGCTTTAAGCAAAAACTACAGCACTGTATTGTGGGTTTATAACACACGTGGACATAACGCACAGGACTACGGCATAGGAAGCGTGGAGTAAGGGTTCTGTATGGGTATAAGGAGCTTACGCTTCCTGTGACCTGGCACAGTGCTCGCTCTACAGAAGTTTACGGTCATCCCCAGAGCAACCAGTAAACCGCTGAAGGAATGTCAATAAAAACACGAAAATGGAAGTCTACATAATCTCCACCCAACTCAAAGTTAACTGGAAAGTAGAAACAGAGAAAGAAAAAACAAACGAGATAAACAGAAAACAAACCGTAAAATGACAGACCTAAATCCATTCATATCAATAATTACATTAAATTTAATGGACTAAACACTTCAATTAAAAGCAGAGACTGTCCGACTGGATAAGAGTGAGATCCGACTATACCCTGCCTCGCAGCAACACACTATAAACACAGACAGGGTGAACCCAGGGAGGTTGAAGGTAAAAGAAAGAAAACATACACCATGCAAACAGTACGTGAAGCGGCCGCAGTGGCCACACCAACACCTATCGAATGGCCAAGACGCACGCAACAAGGTTCCACATCACTGGCCATCGGAGGAACAGCTATGAAAACCACAATGAGGCACCACCACACACACCAGAATAGAAAAAATAACAAGGAAATATAAAAATCCTAAATTCTTATTCAACCAATGACATGGTATCAAAATCTATAAAGCAAAAGTTGACAGATCTAAAAGGAAAGGTAGACAAATCCATAACCACGGTAGAAGATTTTAACACTCTTCTTCAGGAACTGACAAAATAAACAGACAAAAAATCAAGGATCCAGATCATCTGAACACTATTAACGAACTTGACCTGAATTGCATATAGAGAACTCTACACCAAATAATAGCTTGAGAAGACAGTCCTTCTTCTCAAGTGCACAAGGTTACATTTACCAGACAGAACTGACGTATCCTGGGCCGCAAAGTGAGCCTCAGCAAGTTCCAAATAACCGGAATCACAGTGTATGTGGCATTCAACTAGACTCAGTAACAGAAAGGTAATCAGAAAATCTCCCATTGTTTGTAATTAAGCAGCACACTTACAAAGAGCCCGTGGTCACTGTGAGGTAGAAAACATTTTGAGCTGAATGATGATGAAATATCGCATGTTGAAACTTGTGGGACGCAGCCAAGGAGGTTCTCAGAGGGAGGTTATAGGTGTAATCGCACAGATTAGAAAAGTTCAAAACCAGCACTCTGAGCCTGCACCTCACTAAGTCAGTAAAAAGAGCAGCAAGTCAAACCTAAAGAAAGCAAAGACGATCAAGAGCAGAAACCCACGAGACAAAACAGACGCGGAGCAGAGAGCATATGGCAGGTGAAGCGAGCAAAAACAAATGACTACAGTTACACACGTCTACGTGGACGAACCCTGAAACAGTGCTGAGCCAAACGCACAAGTCACCAAGAATACGTACTGCATGACCCAACCTATAATGAGTCCGAAAGGAGGCCTTTAAACATATTGTTTAGGGATCCGTAAGCGGTACAGCTCCCAAGGAAACAAGGGAATGAGGAATACAGATCGCGTTCCCTCTGCGGGGAGGGGGTGGAATCAGAGGGCACACGGCCTACAAAGGGACGGTGATTGTCAGTTTCCTTAGCTGTGCATTGGGTACAAAGCCCCCCATTTGTATCATTTCTTACACTATGCTTATGTGTCATACTTCATATGTAGAACACACGTGAGCATATCGACAGCTCTGGAGGGCTGCACTATGTCTGAGCCCAGAAGGCTAGAAGGACAGAAGGAGAGGGGGTTTGAGACATCAGCCAGCCCACCCTCCTGTGTCATGCCTGAGATTTCCATCACACGTTCCAGTGACTTCAGAGGACCACATTTTACAACCATCTTCTGTTTTATTGTTTTAACACTTACCTAGCTCCACAGGTAACATTTTGATAGGATTTCTTTCTAAAAGCAAAGTTTTCAAATGCCTTTAAAACAAAACAAAAAATACGTAATTTAAACAGCAGAAAATAAAATGACCATCCTTAAAATATACCATCAAATTTCTTCATTGTCTGCTCTTTAAGGGGGCAACTCCAATACAGATGTACACACGTTTACCACCGCCCCACGACTGTCTACGGCCGTTAGTAAACACGGCCCACGGCCCAGCCTAGGCCAGGCTCTCGGCCTCTGCACTGCTGACATTCGGGGCCAGGCAGTTCCTGGCTGGGCGGCTGTCCCGTAGCTCGTGGGGTGGAAACAGTGCCCTGGCCTCTCCCCACTAGTGCCAGGAGTATCTGCCCCCAGACTGTGACAACCACAAAATCTCCAGACATCACCAAATGCCTGCCGGGGCCAAACGCCCGCTGAGAACGTGTGCCTGGGCTGCCCCACCCCCGTGACATCCTCACCACCTACCAGTGCCGCCCGAGGTGCGCTGGGAGGGGTCCGAGTGTTTAAGATGCTCTGTGAAAACGTTTTCTGGGGTCAAAAATGTTTAGGAGACTTCTGCCACAGATCATGTGCTCTGCTCGGGGTGAGTAATGAGCATACAAGGACTCTGAGAAGGCTCAAAGCAGGAAACACGGTTTAAGCGGCGCTTCTCCATGTGTTTACCACAGATCCCTCCTCTCATTTAACACCTATTACTATCCTTTATAAAATGTAGCATAAAACACAGATAGATGGGATAGACAGAAGGTACCCAATAACAATTTACGAATTGAATGATATGGGAAAATAAATATTTCACATTAAACTTGATCTTGCCCCTTTTACTCTCTTAGGCTTCTTTTTGCTTTCACGTTTAATTAAGACTGTACCATATATTAATGATCACTTTCTTTCTTTTTTACTTTTCAAGGATCCCCAGCTGAAATCTGGCATAAATAGACGGAAAATACCCTGCTCATTCAGTGTTTTCAGCCCAGGGCTCCAAAGGCCCCTTCTCACAGGCACTCAAATGGGAGGCAGGACCCTCGTCCTCGTCCCCCAGGACCTGCTCCACCCTGGACTTCACCGAGACACCGTCTGAAGAACCGTTGGGGGGCCAGCCCAGTGGCACAAGCGGTTAAGTGCGCGTGCTCTGCTGTGGCAGCCCAGGGTTCGCCGGTTCAGAACCCCGGGCGCGCACCGACGCACCGCTTGTCAAGCCATGCTGTGGCGGCGTCCCATATAAAGTGGAGGAAGATGGGCATGGATGTCAGCCCAGGGCCAGTCTTCCTCAGCAAAAAGAGGAGGACTGGCAGATGTTAGCTCAGGGCTGATCTTCCTCACACACACACACAAAAAGAACCATTGGAACCACTGCAGGAGAGTCTGCCAGCCCAGCGCACCCACACTGCAGCAGACAGAGGGCTGGCCGGAGTCCAGGGCCCTCAGGGATGCTGATCGAGGCGTGGGGCTGCTCTGTGATGGGGACGGCCGCCTGCCTCTGTGGGGAAGACCTCTCAACCGCCTGGAGAAAAGTCCCCGCCCGCTTCTCCTGGATCACAGGCGTGTGGCAGGCTCCACGCCCTCAGAGTCCAGGAAACCGACGGGTGAACCCAGAGGGGCCTGAGTGTGGCCAATCCGCGGCCCACATCATCAGCCTTCCTTTCCCAAAAAACATTCCTCAGAGAGGAGCAGTGGCTTGCACAGACAGCTGAGCGCTCGCACAAACCCCGTGAGGGAATCGACGCTTAGGGTGGACGGCTGCCTCAACTCTCATTTTGTCCTGGAAGGTGAAAAAATTAAAATCCAACATCATAACTGACCAGGGTCCCCGAGATTTGAAAGGAGAAAATACAATTTCATAGACACACAATTGAGAGTTCTAGCAAGTATTCCATTTAAATTAAGTTTAATTTTTTGATTAGCAATCCCAAAGGAAAATCAGATTACCTGAGGACGGGACAATTTCTTCTCCATCGACTTCTCTGGATTTTCCTTAATATTCGAAGCTTTAAGGGAATAAACTTTACGAATTACGCTTTTCTTGATGGACACACAGGACACAAAGCTGACCTCCCTCGGCTGGTTTTGGTTGAGGCCCTTTCACGTCGCACATACAGAGACCGCCGACCGGGACAGCGTCCGCTCTCCGCGAGATTCTTCATCAGAACCTGCGGACGGCGGCAGGTGGGAGAGCCCTCAGCTTCTCCAACACCAGGTCTCTCAAGGCCCGGAACGTTCCAGCACACTTGCTGGCTGGTGTGTTTGTTTAGGGGGGGAGCATGTTAGCCAACTAGTACCCTGAAAGTGCACAGGGGATTCTCCCACCTCACACAGTATTAAAATACTCGTGCACACTTCAGATGATGAGCTTACAGATGTTAATCTCTTACACACTGTCAGTAATCCCTTATTTCATTTCCCTGACTTTCAACACACAACTCCACTGGAGGGGAGTGGCTTACCTAAGGAGCACACACACTGATGTGAGTTTTGTAATCCCTTTCTGCCAGCAAGCTTACATATCCAAGACACTGAGGAGGGGAGAACATTAATACTGGCACTGTCTTAATTAGGCTTTTTGGAAAGTTTAAGCCTTTTAATAAACCCATAATTATTTAAAATTTCTAATTAATATGTTTCAGCTCTTCAACAAGCTGATCTAATTTTAATGATATAATTGGTTATAAATCACATGCAAAATTATATCTTAAACATTAAGCAGCTGGCTTTGACTGACAAAATCGAAGACTTCCAGAATCTGAGAACCACGTATTTATTTAGAAGGAAGAAGAGTGCGTATGGGATGGCTTTTGTCTGCCTTACCCTTTGAGTAGCAATTACTCCCCAGAGCTGAGCACCGACAAAAGCACTGAATTATTCTAAACACAGAAGACGATGCTCCTGTGAGAACAAGGCCTTCCCTGACCACCCTGACCACAAGCGCAGGAGACTCACAGGGCCACCTGGTCAGGCTGGGAGGGACCAGGCGAGGCAGGCCCAGAGAACTCAGCCACTTGTCACACAACCAGCTGGCAGACGGGGCTCGGCAGCTGCGCCTGGCCTGGTGGGAGCCGAGGACACTGTTCTGCGAGCAGCGGCACGACTCTCAGCAGGTGACCTGCTCTGCAGCCCCTGTCGTCCCTGGAGCTCCAGGAAGACGGCTCCCGGCTCTTTCCACCTGCTGCAGGCACCCGCTGGTCATTAGAAACTAGCTGCTTTCTTGCAGAGCCTGAAAGGCACAGATGACCCAGGCAGACGTTCTCCAACTGTGACATGTGACACAATACTCACTTCCTAAAACATACTTCTACAAACAGTGACTACAGTTCAGGCAAGTGAAAGGCCTTCTATAGGGCTCCGCTCTGCTGTTTCACAGCGGCCACCATGGCTCTCTGTGGACACACTTAACTCTTGTCAGAACTGGGGGTCACCCTTGCACACCTCTCTTCCTCCCACGCCCTACATCCAACCTGACTCCCACCAGCTCTCGAGTCCACCCACAGCTCTGCCAGGTCCAGCCTTGCCCAGGCCACTGCCTCTTACGTGGACAGCTGCAGTGGCCTCATAACTGGCCTCCTAATCCTCCTTGCAGAGTGATCTTAAAGCTGAGTCAAATTCCACCCCTCTCCATTCAAACGCTCTTGTGACTTCCCAGCTCTTTCAGAATGAAATCCAAAATTGGAACCACAGCCTACAAGCTTGGCCAACCCTCCCCACACATATCTCCCACTACTTCTCCCCTCCTCTGTTCCACCACACTGGCCTCCTTGCCGTCCCTCCATCCACCAAGCACACGCCCACCTCAGGGCCTTTGTACGTGCTTTCCTCCACCCAGGATGCATTCATGTTAAAGGAGGGCCTGCAATGTTTATCAGAAGGTTTTCAAAAGGCTAAGAAACACTGGCATAGAAGGACTGGGCACTGAAGGCGAAGGGGTCAGGAGAGGAGGGTGGCCTCACAGTGAGTGTGACTCCTGGAGGGAGCGAGGACGCCAGCTGACCCTTGGCTGTGGGGAGGGGCGCAGGTGAGGAGGAGGAGGGGAGGCATGAAGTGGGAGCGCTAGGAAACCCCTGTGTCAGGGTGGCAGAATGCGGGAGGACAGCACACAGTGATCACCTTGGGTTTTCCAATTTTCCAAAATGGGAAGAATTCTCATTATCTACCAGGAACCAGTACAGATACAAATGGGCCCCCAGGAGCCGAGTAGCTGGTTGTAATTCATCAGCAGTATTTCTGACCTTTCATGGAGCTTCACATGACAAGAGTCAGAGGTGGAACCAGCTGCTGCAAAAACCACATGGCCTGTGCAGCAAAGGCACTGTGGTCACCAGCATTCCTTGTGGTATGAAATATCCTAAATTACAATCACAGTTATGTGCACTTGGTCCATGCAGCTGGCGTACCTCTTAGCTGGCTTTAAAAACACTATTAAATGCTCTATCTTGAAGTCAAAATTCAGTGTAGGGGCTGTGCAGGAAAAGCATGGGCGCTCAGGCATTTTAGCGGTGATGATTTTTCAGATCTGGAAATATAAACAGACAACTTACTTGTGAGAGCCGATCCCAGAAGGAAGCGCTTTGATCCTATTAAACCGGAGGTCTAGCCAAGTCAGGTTTGGCAGTAACTGAAAGAAATCTCTAGGAATCGCACAGAGGGCGTTTCTCTGAAGATGCAATTGCTTCCAGGGAAAGAAGAGAGAATGTTTAGTCAACCAACTAAATTGTAAAACATGATGTGTCTCCTACAAGCATTTCCAAAAGAACCACTAGCCACTGCAATCATACGTACAAAGTTAAAAGAAAAGCATGGTATTTTACCCTTAGTAAACAGTTCAAACAGCAGACATGAGAACAGAGGGAAAGGCGCCAGGCCTCCTCGCACAGCTTTTGGAGCCAAGCGGGGCTTTCTGACCCAGAGACACCGCTTCTCTCCCGCTGACGGTTCACACGCCACCACTGAGCACATCAGTTCCTCTACAAACATCCTTTAACACGCAACGTACTCTCCAAGGCTTTCAAAATCACTGCTCTCCTTCCTGGGCCCACACTCAGGCTCCGCCGTCCTAGCGCTCGCTGCAGCCGCAGCGACTCAGCGAATCAACAGCAAGAGCCACGTCTGGTTCTAGGGACTCATCCCAAGGAGGTAACTAAAAGGAGACTAAGACACACAAGCACCAAGCTATTTGCTGCGGCATTATCTACGACAGACAGCCACACAAACACAATCCCAGTAACCATCATTTCAGACACAGTTTGATACAACAGATCAGTGGACTCTTAAGTCATCACCATAAATAAGATACAGTCATGTGTGGCTTAATGACAGGGATACGCTCTGAGAAACACGTCCTTAGGCAATTTCGTCCTGTGCAAACATCATCGAGTGTACCTACACAAACCTAGGTGGTATAGCCCACCACACACCTACGCTATGTGGCACTATTCTTATGGGACCACCATCGTATACGCAGTCCATCGTTGACCGAAATGTCGCTGTGTGGCGCATGACTGTAGCAAGAGAAGGTAGAAGACAAAATGTAAGACACAGATTTTAGCCACGTAAAATGTATATATATAATTTTATAGTCAGTGTGGCAGGATTATGGGTAATTTAAAAAATATCTTGTTTAATGCTGTTTTATGTTGTATATATTTACATTACTTTATATATTATATATGTACATATTTAGACATCTTTAACTTCTGAGGCAGCAGAGAACAGATGTTAAGAACACCAGCCTGGAAGCCAGGCTGCCCGGGTTCAAATCTAGGTTTCGAAACCTTTGAGCTGTGTGACTTTGAGCAAGTTCCTGAACTCCTCTGTGCCCCAGCATCCTCATCTATAAAATGGGCCATGGGATCCACCTCCTAGGGGATGCTAAGTGAGCAGCGCTTGGCACGCAGGAGCGCTGGGTAAGCGTCAGCCATCGTGATTATGTACCTTTTCTATGAAAGACCTGTTGAGCACAGCAAAGAGCTCCAGGCCGCGCCTTTTCAGTCTCAGTTTCTCCACTCCCAATTCCACGACCAGTGCCACCTTCCCGGTCCCTTCGTGAGTTATGGCAGAAACTTGAGAGACACTGGCTAGGAAGCCACACTCTGTAAGTGCATGGAAACAGTCTTCAGTCAGCTCAGACATGGGCACAGTCACGCCCTGCTGGCGGCTGGCACAGTCTCTGGGATGCAGTCTGGCGATTACAGACACGCAACACATGGACACCTCGAGGTGTGCCGCTCTCAGCCCTCGGCTGCAGTGTGGGCTGTAAGCTCCTCAGGCCTGCTCTTTTTCTCTCAGGGCAGGCTAGTTCTAGTGCTCAGCTCTGAAGCCACAGATCCTCCTAAACGCCAGAAAAAGGATTCTCAGAAAGACAAGAAAAGATGGCACTACTCCTCGTCAAAGAGCTGGTTCGGGTAAAGGCGAGTGGACTGCGTCACACAAGCCCGTCCTTCCGCTTCGGTCCCGTGAGATAGTGTGACGATGGGGGCCCTTCCTGTGTTCTGTTATTTGTTGCCATGGTAGTAAAATTTATATTGACAGCTGTTTTCTGAAAGGCATAAATAGTTATGAAGTTCCTTTATTAAGCCTGAAGAAGGGTTTTGGAATTTCCTCCTTCTTCCTTTATGCATAAAGGTAACATAAACCTCATGACACTGTTGGATTTTAGAGTTGAGAGCATTTGCTTCATTGAAAGTGACACATGCATTACAGGAGCCCTGATGACCTAGCGATTCACTCCAAGAGGATGGTGCTAAGGAAAGACGGGGCCAATGCTGGCCCCGACAGCGAAAACAGGGTATGCAACACTCAATCGTGAGGTTTAGTGAATTAAGCAGCCACCTAAAATCTAAGTATACAGCTTCTGTAAGACTGTCAATCAACACTGTAACGGTGCAATGTGTCGTGTGGAACTGGGCTTTATATGCATTATCGTTTAATTCTTACAATAACCCATGAAAATATTCTCATTCCCATATTCCAAAAGAAGACAAATGAGGTTTAAGGAAATTATGTGACCACTGGGCAGCGAGAGCACCGCTGGTGAGCAGCTCGCCGGGTTCACGTCAAAGCTGTGCTGTGACAGAACCTTATTCTAGAAATCACGGGGACGAGACAGCACCGGCTACACTGTAAGCAGGCAGGGGCCCGACCTGGCGGAGGCACTGGGCACAAGTCAAAACCCGCGAGTGACGTTATAACGCGTGGGTGAGAAACACAGGCTTTAACTGTTCGAATATTGCATGGTTTTTTTTAGGGGTTTTGTGTTTTAAATAAGAGACCAACGGTGTCTTTGGCAGTGGTTTCCACCACGGACTTTTTGGTGCCTAAGCCTTTCCCGAGGGGAGAGAGGACATTAGTCCACCTCTGCACGGTATTTCCACTGGCTGGTCCCCAAACTCCTTTTGTTCTGAGCAGCACATGAAAACCCAGGCTCACCCTCCTCTATCTCACTCTAGAATGTCTCTCTCCTAAAGAGGAGCTACAAGTGAAAGCCTCGGAGTTGAAGTGTTCATTTCTGTCTACACAGCACATGCGCACAACGCCCGGAGGAACGCCCCACTTACTTTAAGGGCGGGGATTTTAAAGATCTCTCCTAAATGGTGAAGGCCACTTTCACTCAAGTCTAAAATTGGTGAGGAAGAAAAGATGACCCCCTTAACACCCCCGTGAATGTCTCTGGACGGGGAGGCAGGCGTGCTCCTGGCTTGACCTGCGAGGCCCTCGGGACCAGCAGCCCCAGGGCAAATCCTGTAAGAGCAGCTCCCCTCCAGCAGTCAGGCAGCAGGAAGCAATCCTCTGGGGTCCACCGCTCATCCTCCTCCGTCTGGAGTCACCTGGAGACAGGGAGGGGAGACAACAACTGGGTACAGACACATTCACACAGGCAGGACGGGCAGGCTACAGGCCAGCTCTGCAACGACTTCACTTGCTTACAAAACCATCATTTTTAATAAACAGTATCATCAATTTGACTTTTAAATTTGTAAAAAAAAAAACTGGAATGCAAGAAGGTTCAGATTAAAATATTCTGCTCCTCACTTTGTACCACGGAGTTCCAAGATTTAAATTTTGACTCTTGGAAAACACAATGATGCAAAATAGGAATGGCTATTTTAGGGACGAAAACAGATAAGAATGTGTCCAAGTCGGTAAACTAGTGTACTGCTTCCACAAAACGCAGGAGGGCGGGGCTCCTAAATTTGCACAGATTCTTATTTCTGCTGTGGTTCTGTGCCATTTCCACCATGCCTTACTTGTGTTTACCATTTTGGCTCAGACACCAGCTCTGGGACTGGTGAGCAGAAGTTAGGCGCTGGGAAAAACGTATCAAAATAGAATCTTGAATTTTAGTTGTCAGCAATACTTTTGCTCAACACCAAGTTCAAGAACTGTTGCACCAAAACCTCATTTGGTGAGGCATACTTCCACATGTAATTTCCAAACAATTTATCCAGCAATGATAACAAGCATTGGAAGGCCTACGGGTTTACATGCATGCGTTCACTAATACGATCCACTGGACAGCCCAAGGGCCGTTACACCCGTGTGTGCACACAGACTTCGTTCTCATTTTAGGGATGAGGAATATGAGGTTTGGATTAGTTGAGGACCTGCCCAAAAGTCAAGCAATTAATGAGTGCGGTGGACCCCACAGGCGCCTGCACTCCCCGGAGACCCTGGGCCTTCGCTGGTGGGTCCTTTTCTGCGGATCATCGATGACCCTGGAGTGGAGAGAGGCTTCAATCTCCTACAAACCTCTCAACAGAGAAAATGTCTTAAAACCGACAGCAAAACAAGAGTGCCCAAAAATGAGGGGCGGGGCGGGCTCCACGGGGTCCTGGGGGCTGCTCCAGGTCCCCAGCGCGCCCTGCCTCGGTTTCCCCATTCGCGCCAGACTGGGTTGGCCCTGACGCTTTGGGCCTCGCATTGCAGGCCTGGGGGTGCGGCTGGGGGCGCAGCCTGTGCGGGGCAGCACCCGGGGCCCAGGCAGCCAGAGAGGGCACGACGGGCTGCGGGGCCGGAGCATCACCTACCTTCCGCCGCCCGCCCACCCTCGGGCCCCGTGAGCTCCGCGCACCCCACTGCCGCCTTCGGGATCCCGCCCCTCACCTGCAGCACCCCGGATCCCCCGCTCTCTCCGCCCCGTACCCCCCGCCTCAGCGCCTCCTACCTCACCAGCTGCGCCCCCGATTCCCACCCCACCGACCTCCGCCTCCTGGCCCGGCAGCCCCTACCCTGGAGCCCCCCGCCTCCTGCGCCCCCCTCACCTGCGGCGCTCCGCCCCACTAGCAGGCCGCACGCCCGGGGCACGCAGAGCGGCAGCCCAACAATGGAGGCCGCCCGACCCACGCGGTCGCCATGGAGACGCCGGCCTACGGAGGCCCGCAGGCGCCAAGCCGCGCGGGGGGCGCGCAGCCGCGGAGGGTGTGGTGCGCCTGCGCGCGGGGCGCCTGCACGTGCGGCCGCGTCTCTGCTCGGGTCCCTGGCGCTGGCCCGCCGCCTGCGACCTCCTCTGCCAGGCGGGCGGTGACACACACAGAGGTTGTTGGAGCGCCTGGACAAAGGGGACAGGTGGCCGAAGCCGCAGAGTCGTGGGCACGAGGAAGACGTCTGCGGGGCGCGCGCTGGCGGGGCCTGAGCGGCCCGCCGGAGCACCGCCCCATAAACGCCCGGAAAGTTGGATTTCGGGCTGACCGACCTGGTCTCGAGAACTTGAAAGCCCTTCCCGCTGTTTAACTTCGCCGTCTGCAGCAGGCCGACCCAGGTCCCTGAGGGTCGCGGATCGCTGTCACAGCCGCCGTCTCACGCGGACACCCGCCATCCGGGAGAAGGGGCCCTTCCTTTTGTCACAGGGAAGCATCCTTCCCAGAAGCCCCCAGCAGTTGCCTCTAAGATCTCCTGGCCAGAGTTGCTTCAGTTATCTGGACCTGTCACCAGAAGGGAAATGAGAGCACCATCGTGGCTCAGATTAGCCGGTCCTGTGGCGCTCAGGTGGAGGATCGTGGACACCTGTATCAGTCGGACCAGAGCCACCAGGGGATGATGTCGTTACGCGAACTGATATCGAACCTGAAGTGGGTTCGCTCACCCGTCACGCAGCAAGCCAATCTCTGACACAGGGTCTAGTGGAAGAAAGGAATTCTATTGCAAAGCGCTGAGCAAGCAGAACGGGCAGCTCACGCTGTAATCCCGAACTCCCCAAAAAGCTACACACAAGAGTTTTATCTGGGGTTTTAGGTAGGGGAGGGGGAGCATGTGGCCTTGGGGCTGAAGTTCTACTAGTCCTCCGCACAGGCGTGACTGCCTGTGTATTGCACGCTGTGGATTTTTATTCTGTGATGTCTAAAGTTTACAATCAGTCGTTTTAGCTTCTCAACGTTCTTGCAAGATGCTTAGCCAGGCTGTGAGCAAGCTGCGTTCTTATCAGCGGTCCTCCTGCTGATCTGCAAGGCAAACTCAGAAACTTTGGTTATTTTATTTCTCACATTAACCTTGTGGGTACAGGCACGGTTTCACCCTAATCCAGGTGAATTTTAATGCCTTTGTCCTCAGTTTCAGAACTACTGCAGGGATTTGACCCTCTGCCTGTGGAGCTGGTGGGAGAGTCTCTGAAGGCTCTGCTCGAGCCTGATGCTGCAGGCTGAAGTGTGCAGAACAGGTGGTCGGGAGGGAGGTTAGAGGTTACGTAGGGGGAGTGAGGACAGATGAAACTGCAGCAGACTGGACACTGTGCGCACAAGCTGGAACCCACCAGCGTGGACCCACCCTGTGGATGTCCTGCAGGAGAACTTGGCACATTCATCACAGAACTGCCACAGGCCTAGCCCAGGAGCTGGAGAACCTACAAGAGGACTCAGGAAGGCAGAGCACCTGCACACCCGCCTCCCACCAGTGAGATGAGCTGCAGATAAACGACGTATGTGAGCTGCAGACACACCTGGGGCCCCTGCCCTGACCTGAGTATGCTTGCATGTGGATGAGCTGGAGGGACAGACACATACTGGAGGTCATGTCAGACACATGTTCTGGGGCAGTGGGAGTTCACCCTACAAAGATTCAGGGACCCACCATTCCAGTAACATTTTTAGAGATCCCACGTTCAGTGGCAAATTGGGACGCTCCTTCTAGAGTAAGGACAAACTGTTGCATCTTCCAGTTCCCACCACAAAGAAGGTAGCCCAATGCCAGGTGGGTCTCTTCTGCAGAGAAAGCAAGCAGAAAAAAAGCAATTTGGAGGGAACAGATTTTTCAGGGAGGAGAAAATATCTTTTAAACAAACTACCAGTATCAGAGATCTGTGAGAAGGCATTTCAGCCAAAGAACAGCAGCACATGCTGTTAAATGGAGGGACATTCAGAAATCGACAAGGAAAAGGCTCTGGGAAATTAAAACTTAAGGGCAGAAATAAAAACTCAGTTGGAGGATTAGATCAGTGGTTTGTAACCGGGGACGAATTTGCCTCCTCCCCCAGCCTCTGTCAGGGGACATTGGGCAATATTTGTAGACACTGTTCGTTGTCCCAGCTGGGGCGGGGGGGAGTAGGAAGGAGGAGCTCCTCCATCTAGTGGGCGGAGGCCACGGACCCTGCCCAACACCCTACAATGCGCAGAAAGGCTCCCGCAACAGAGAGTTTTCTGGCCCCCAAATGTCCGTAGTGGGGAGCTGGAGAGACCCTGGATTAGATGATAAACTTGAGACAATCTCCCCAAATCAGGGCAAAAACACAAAGAGGTGGAAAATAGGCAAGAACATACATGAAAATTGTAGGATCCATCCAAGAGTTTCATAACTCAAACCAGAGAGAAATAAGAAGGCACGAGAGAATCTATGAAATGATTTTTAAAATTTTCCAGAGTTGAAGGACACGTGTTTCTTGAGCAGAAGGGTCAACTGGGGACCTAGCACAAAGAATGGAAACGGACTCTCAGCGAGGCACACACTGTGATGTTTCAGAACCCTGCTTTCAAAGAGAAAATCCCACAAGATCAGGATGAGTGAAAGCGACCACAACAGACCACCCATGGAGGATCATAAATCTGTATTCTTCTCAACAGCAACACGAGGAGCTAGTCATTCGAGCTAGAGAACAATAGAGCAATGCCCTCAAAACTCCACAAGTCAGTGATTTCCCACCCACATTTCTGTATCAAGTGCCAGGCCAGAACTGAAGTCGTTTGTGGACGTTCAAGGGCTCAAAAAAATTGCTTCCCATGTGCTCCTTCGTAGGAAGCTACTGAAGGATGTGCTCCCCCAAAGGAGCACCCCAATAAAGAGGATGTGGGACACGGAAAACAGGGGTTCCGACCTCAGCAGGGAGCCCTCCAGGGTGGCGGTGAAAGGAGATGTGTGCACCAGGAACAGGGCGACCAGTGTGGACGCGGGACACAGAATGTCGTCCACCAAACCAAAGAGTAAATGGCAAAGACGGTCCAGGAGGGATGCCCAGGATGACAACAAAGGGAAGTCCCCACCTGGGTGGGGGCTCTCCACCATTAATAGCTGGAAGTAACAGCTGCCAGCAGTGGCGGAGGAGGTAGAAATTGCCCCTCAAGGCTATTGCAAGGGGCTGGAAAATTCCCAAGAGATTCAAAGAAAACTAAGCAACTGAAGAAGTCATGATTTATTTCAGGAAGGACAATAATCAGGGTATACAGAGTGAAAGGGTAGTCAGCCTCTTCGGGGCAGCCCTCAGACCAGACAAGAGGATCCCCCCCCCTGCCCTGGGCACTGGGTTTAGAGGTTCCACATTCCAGACACAGAACCACACCAGGTTCCTTTGGGTTTTGTAAGAATGCTCTTTGAACATTAGTAACTGATGGAGCCCGTTGAGGAGAGAGATGCACGAGCTGACCAGCCCCTGGGCCAAAGAGAGCAGGGCTGTGACATGTGAGTGTTTGTGGGGAGAGGAGAGAACCCCAGCCTTTACTCTGGGAACTGCAGAAAGACCAGAGCTGGCCACCACAGATGACCCCAAATAGGTTCCAGGCACGGCTTCCCAGGTCACTCCCTCCCCATGCTGGGTGATGTGTCCTAGGAAGGGTTCAGAAGTCCCTGGGCTTCTCGGACAGTGGAACGTTCCATTTCCTGCACTGGTTGGTGGTTATACAGAGGTACACACTTTGTGAAAATGCATTGAGCTGTATAGCCATGACCTCTACAGTTTTCCACACACATGCTATACATCAGTACAAGAGTTTATTCTGTATACATTTTTAGAAGAAAATATGGGTGAATTTTACATTGTTCTTAGGCTAAGAAAGGATTTCTCAAACGAGATATAAAAACACTTAGCATAAAAAGAAATATTGATAAATTCACTACATTAAAAGTACTCTTGTTTATCAAAAAGACAGCATAAGGAAAATTAAAAGTGAAGCCAAAAATGACAGAAGATATGGGCAATTCTTATATCCAATAAGGGTTAGTATCCAGAATATATAATCTAATAATTATTAGTATGAAGAATACATAAAGAACTCCTATAATTCAATAGGAAAAAGATAAAAATAATAGATACATTTAGATCTATAGACAAAAGATATGAACCAACAACTCACAGTAGAGGAAAAACAGTAGCCGATAAAGATGTAAAGAGATGCTCCACTTTACCAGCCAGCAGGGAGATACAATCTTATCCAAAATGAGATGCCCTTTTATGGCTTGCTCAGTCGGCATAAATGGAGAAGACTGGTGACACCTGTGTTGGTCAGCCTGTGGGTCCTCCTGCTGTCAGGGGGGCCCATTGGTACCTTGGGAGCATCCGGGAAAGCCTCTGCTCCCCTGGGTAGGGCGAAACCCATGTGCAGTGATGCCACATCCCCCTGGAGTCTTCTCGAGAAAGATGAATGGAGATGCACCAGAACGCGAGGGAGAGGTGTTCCCAGGAGCCTCGCTCACGTTCGCAGAGAGCTGGAAAGGAAGCCAAAGGCCAGGACAAGAGAGAGCCATGCATGAATGAACAACTGCTGCTCGCAAAAACAGGCTGAGTCTCAGAAACAGCTTTTGACAGAAAAAAAGCAAACTTCAGGAGACATCATACAGCATGAAATGTTTTTTACCGTGTTTAAAGTCAAGCAAAACTGAATGATAAGTTGCAAGTATGAATGACAAAAAATTCTAAAACAAGAAGAAGTGAAGTTATGGGCGGGCCTGTCACCCAGGTTGGGGCAGGCAGGAGATGGAGTACACATGGTGGGTGTGATGGGCTGAACTGTGTCCCCCCAAATTCATACATTGAAGTCCTAACCCCCAGGACCTCAGAACATAACTGTATTGGGAGAGGGGGCCTTTAAAGAGGTAATTAAGGTAAAATGAGCTCAGTAGAGTGGGCCCTAATCCCATAGGACTGGTGTCCTTATGAGAAGAGGAGATTAGGACACAGACACACACAAAGGGATGACCACGCGAAGACACAGGATGAAGGCCGTCATCTACAAGTCAAGGAGAGAGGCCTCAGAAGGAACCAGCCCTGCCGACACCTTGATCTTGGACTTCCAGCCTCCAGGACTGTGAGAAAATAGGTCTGCTATTTAAACCTCCAGTCTGTGGCACCTGTTACCACAGCCCCAGGAAACTAATACAGTGGGGGTCAGAGGACAGGTGGTCCCTCAGTCCAAGCCGGGGCAGACGGGTGGAGGTGCACATGGTGGGGGGCAGAGGGTGGTGGCCACTTCTGGGTGTTCATTGTTATGTTTCAGGATATCTGTGTTACACGTGTCACTTTCTATGCATCAAATGTTACATAACAAAAGAAGAGCTGCCGTCTAGT